TTTTTTTTTTTTTTTTTGTTTTTCTTGTGGTTATAATTTCCCACTTCATTTGTTGGTTTACATTTACACATGCTCGTTATTTTTCTCGACAGGGAATTGCAAGTTAGAGATCTTGTACAGATCTGTCTTCGGCTAACTGCTGAAGATTTGGGTTTGCAGAAGCTTGATATCAACAGTTAAAAACAATTAGGTGAATGTTTGTGGTGAGGCCTTTGTAAATTCGTGTAAACTCCGATTTTTTCATGCGAGTCGTGCACGACGATGAGTTTTTTTTTTTTTTATTTATTTTTATTGCACGCATGAAATAGTAAAAAGTTATTTGACTGTTTTGTGATTTGTAGCAATTTGTGGTGAGTATAATGTTTTGGAATTTGATTCATTCATTTGCAAAAATATTAAAAAGATCTCGAGTTATTTCCACATTTGGAAATGATCATATGTAGGTACCAAAGAAAAAAAAAAGGGTTGTGTCCGTCAGAATGATATTTTAATAAGAAAAAATTAAATTGCAGAAAATGATAAGTAGTTGATATTTTATTTACCCATCATAAAGTCCAAATGGATTTAATAATTTTTTACAATTAGATGATATTAGTTGTTTGGTGCTTCCAACAGAACAATAATCATATTATTTGTACATCACTTTCAAAGCACCAAACAATAATCATATTATTTGTACATTACTTTTATTTTCTTTTTGTAAAATGATTCATGTGTAATTTGTGATAAAAATTGGAAAATTCTGAAAATCCATAATCTAAACTACATGGAGTTTACCCCAAAATTTTTAAACCAAGGATTTTGAGTAAAATTACTTGCATTACAAATTTTCAAATTACTGTATAACACAACAAAAGATATACTTAAAAGTTTAAGATAACTTTTACATTTGTTTTTTCATCTCTTTCATGCACACTATTTTGTATCTCGTGCGATGCACGGGTAGACTTATTCCTTAATTTTTTTAACTTTATTTTAAATATAATTATTTATATTTAAACATCTCATTATTGGTTTTATAATGTGCATTTTAATAATTAATTACCATGCAAATAAAACAACTAATTAATTGACATAATTAATTTATATAAAAAACAAGCAACTAATTAATTATCATGCATATTAGACAGGACATTCCATTAATATTTTAGCCAAATGCATGATTTTTTATGTTTTTATTTTTTTAAAAATACTTCCAAAGAAAATTAAGAAGGCTCCACATAACATTAGAGAAAGTAAAAGACTTTGAATAAAAATATGAAATATTCAAACTTAAAAGTTTAAATATTTATTTAGTTATTATTATTAATTTATCTATATATATTTATATATATATGTATATATTAAAGCATGATATGTAATCATAAAATAAAAATGTGAATGAATGACATATTATTTTATTGTAATTACTTATGCATAGATTAAAAAAATTATATGAATGTTTGAAAACTTAACTACCTCATGAAACATTTGGTTTCAAAGCAATATAGATATTATAAATATATAATTTATTTGCTACGTTTATAGTTTATAATTATCCTATAATTCCAAATTTTTTTCTAATTGACCATAGTTTTTGGGTATTCTAAAAATTTTTGAGATTATTTTAATTAAGGAGTACTTTGAATATTTTTATTTTTTTTAGTTTAGTAAAGTGATTCATTTTAGTTTAGTAAAGTGATTCCAAATTTTTGGAAAGATTGGTAAATATTTTAACTTGTATATAATAAATGTTAAAACGGAAATAGGAAAAATATTTCCAACATCTTAAGTACTTAAAAAAAAAAGACGTGATACTGGAAAAGGAAAAAAAAAATATTTGACTTTTACCATTGTTAATAGTTCCAAATATCTAATTAAGGATATTAAAATAAAATCAAAACAATACCCACAAAAAAAGGAAACAAAATTAAGAAAAAAAACAAGGATATAATTGAGATGAATATGGAGATCAAAATAAGATGAAATGCATATCAATTATAAAAGATCATTTATGTTACTTTCAAAAATTCAAAATAATTCAAAAAAGTCATGGGTGGAAGAAACAAAAAAAAATTCAAAAAAGCAATTCCAGTAATTGTAAAAACCAAAAATTTGGGCGGGAATCTTCATGCTTTTTTTTAGGTTATTTTTATTGCTATTATATAGTAATAGATTGGCCAGATTTACACGTTGTATTTAAATTCGAATTTACATCCACCTGTCATTTTCCAAAAAAAAAAGAAAAACAAAAATAAATAAAAATAGTAATTTTGAAAATTTTAAGCGGGAATTTTAATGCTATTTCAAGTAAACCTCTCTCTCTCTATTATATGGTAGTCGATTAGTTTAATATTATTCAAAAAAATAATGTACAACGCCCATAATATTACTTATTATTTATGGAGCTCGACTTTATTTCCGTAATTATTAAGTTTCTTAATTTGATGCATTTATTATTGTTATTTGCATTAAATTAATAATTAGTATTAAAGTCTAAGCCATAGAGGTTTTATTCGATTTTAATTATTAAAGTCGGAGTCATTTAGCTCAAGTATCGGTTATGTTTTTAAAACCGAGCCTTGAAAATAATCGGAATTCTATTAAAGCGGACCGAAGCCGAAATTAATTTATTTGAGCCTGATCATTTTCGAGCGAATCTAATTATTTTATCACATCTCATTTAAGTTAATCGAGCTTATGTTCGATTTTATTTTAGTCCATTTTAAAAATCGAGCTTATGTCGATTTTTAAAGTCAAGCCCAATTATTTTAGTAAATTTGACCAATTAATTAATTTAGTCTAAGTCTCGATTAATTTTTAAATCGACCCGAGCATTTTAATTTCCTAAGTCCATGTTCGATTATTAGCTCGAGTGTTAGTAATTGTAAGCCTGATTTTAAGGCCCAAGTCCGAACCCAACAACAATACGAAACCCTAGCTATCTCTCCACATATAAATACACACATTTCATCCACCTCCCACCACATCATCATCTTCCCCAAAACACATCTCCTCCACACAAAGAAATCCGTCCAGCTCGGAATTTGACGAATTTCCGGCGAAACCCACGACCGGCGAGCCCTTCTTGCCGTTCCCAGCTCAAGCTCTCTGCCGTTCACGCCTCCCGAGCTCAGCCCGCAGGTAAGTCGCGACCACAACTCGCTTTCGAGCTCCTGCCGTCCATTATTCACGCCGGCGAAGCTCCCGCCGTCGTCCAAGCTTCCATTTCCGGCGAGCACACCTCAGCGCGCCGCCGTCCTCACCATCTTCAAGCTCGCCACAACCTCACGCAGCCGCAGCCCGAGCTCACGCGGCGACCCCCTTCGCGACGATTCCAGATCCGGCAAGACGCAGTAGCTCCTCGCCGTCGTCCGTACGCGTTCCGTGAAGCCCGAGTCGGAGGTTACAATCTCCGGCGACCTCGCAGCTCCACGTTCAAGCCAGAACCGCCGTCCCTCTGGCGAGGCCTTCCGTTTTTCCGGCGACCTGCAGCAAGCTCGCCCTCCGGTCCCGGCAGCACAGGTCCGAGCATCTCACCTCATATCCGGGTTCATGCTCCAAATCTGATCCGACCTGGTCCAACCGAGTCAACATCCGCGAGTCCGTGCCATCTCGGTTGAAGACTCGAGCCACCCGCACCAGCTCACCTTCGATCCGAGCAGGTTCAGCCCAGGCCCACAGCCCTAGCTCCGGCCCGATTCGCGTCACAATCTCATTTCCTTAAGTTTCTTTGATTTTCCGATCTCCGATTCGAGCCCGATTTTAGGTAAAATGGCTTGAACTCTTCTCCATGAGCTTGATATGTTTAATGAGATGATATAAAATTGATGAATTGGGTGATTTGAGCTATTTTGATTTAACGGGATTTGTCGAGCTTGAAGTGGATTTTTCGAGTCTTTGATATAAGTGCGGTAAAATGATGAAATAAATTTTATAAAATTTTTTTCGATGTCTTGAGGTTTAGTTGCGAATTTGAGAATATTTGGAGTTTGTTTGATAGAAGAACTAGATTTTTTAAGTATCTGACACGGTTGAAGTGATTACTAGTTGAATTGGTTAGGAGTTGGAATTGAGTTGCGATATTTCGACCATGGACTACATATATGATGGGGACACTATGTTTTAAATTTCGTGAATTTTGGATGCCTGGTATAGCTATTAAATCGGGACTTTAGTCGATAAATGAGATATTTCAGAATATTAGTCTGGTTGAAATTTTAGCTGCAGCTGTTGATTATAAAATCGTTATAAATCACATAGAAATTATAATTTAAGTATCGGCCTTTAAATGAATTAAAATTTTACAAAAATCAGAAACTCTAGTTTTATTCGGTTCCTATAGTCTGGAAATTTTCGGATCCGTGTTTAGTCGCCCGAACCATAGTATCATTTAAATAACTTTAGACGTTGTAACATTAATTATGAATGCGTTTCGTCGTCCCGCACATGTGTTCGACTC